TGAGGCCTCAAAATGATACTCTATTTGGTTAATGAATCCCCGGCATTCTTGAATATTACCATCAAAATGCAGGGGAGGAGATAGAGAGAGAGAGAGAGAGAGTGGGCGCCTTGTATACTATAGGTGGAGGTGAGACGGTAGAGGAGACCACAGGCTGCAGGTGCGCTGTTCAAGAAAAAAGCGTATTGAAGGTCAGGGCAAATTGATCCATGCGGTGATCATTCTCCTCTAGTTTCCTTTTGTACGCAGCTATGCGCTTACACAATTCTACAGGATCTGGCCATGTCGTAATGTCAGTATTACAGTATGATCCAGCACGTAGAATTGTGTAACACAGAGGACTGATAGGTAAAGTATACCAGATCTTAGAATGGCCGGACTAACGTACCAAAGAATAGTCAGGAATAGCCAAGGTCAAGGGATACAGAAAGAGACAATGATAAGGAAGAGCCAGGAGTCATGGATGCCAGAAAACAGGGAAGTCAAAAACAAAGTCAAATAACCAGAATCAATAACGCACTCTCGGACAACCACAAGGGAAACCACAACAGGGCACTGAGCAAGAGCAGAACTGGGCCTAAATACCCTGCCTGTGGATCTGATTGGTTGTAACCAGCCTTTGACCCCAAAGGCAGTTACCAGGTTCCTATTTGCATGATTGCTGCTCAGCACAAACCCTCCTGTGGATTGATTGCTGCTCGGCACAACTTTTCCTGTCAGAACAGTAAATGCCATTAATTGCATTTTTATGTGGTGATGAATACATGACAGAGACAATGGAAGCAGAGCAGGAGTAGCGTACTGGACGACATGAGAGATAAGCTGCCCCAAACAGGAGACAAGAGTGCTGGAGAGCTTAAGGTAGCGTCTGCCTAAGAGAAATTTCACAATAATTTATGGCTAAGTGCCAGAGATGTTCGAGCGGATTGCAGCCAGTACACAACAATATATAATTCAGAAGTAGTGGCACAAGAGACTTACTTATAGAAGCCCTTTGCTTTCCTACCTCTGACTATGTGTAGAACCCAATTAATAGGGTGTAAAACACTGCATATAGCTGATTGAAAAAAAGGAAAGGAAAAAAACCTCAGCATTTTACAGGTATTGTTTGTTCGTGCCAATCAATAGTTAAAGTCTGAACAGGCTTGAAACCAGCTATTTTGCTCTCTAGTCCTACAGAGGGATATATGTTATTATATTATGAAGGATGGGTGCTGTTTTTTTGGGTTTAAAAAAAAAAAAAAAAAAAAAAAAAAACTCTGACTATGGCTACTAAAAACAGATTAAAGGAACGGAAAGTATGAAATCCACCCTACTAGAATGTCTGGTTTCTTCTCTCCTATGACGAACAAGGAGAGATTGGATAACAACCCAGAGATCCAATTATACATAGTTACATAGCTGAAAAGAGACTTGCGTCCATCAAGTTCAGCCTTCCTGTTTTTGCTGTTGATCCAAAAGAAGGCAAAAAACCCAGTCTGAAGCGCTTCCAATTTTGCAACAAACTAGGAAAAAATTCCTTCTTGACCCCAAAATAGCAGTCAGATGTCTCCTTGGATCAAGCAGCTATTACCCTACTAATTAGAAATTATATCCCTGTATGTTATGTTTTTGCAAGCATTTATCCAATTGCAGTTTAAACATCTGTATAGACTGACAAAACCACCTCTTCAGGCAAAGAATTCCATATCCTTATTGCTCTTACTGTAAAAAAAAATCTCCTTTCTTCAAGCCTAAATGTGTGACCTCGTGTCCTATGTATAGCCCTGTTTATGAATAGATTTCCAGATAATGGTTTGTACTGGCCCCGAATATATTTGTATAATGTTATCATATCCCCTCTCAGGCGCCGTTTTTCCAAACTAAAGAGATTTAACCTTTCTTCAGAACTTAAATGGTCCATTCCTTTTATCAATTTTGTAGCTCATCTCTGCACTTTTTCTAGTGCCATGATATCTTTCTTTAGAATAGGTGTCCAAAATTGCACAGCATATTCAAGGTGTGATTTATAAAGAGGCAAAATCATATTTTCAGGACAGGCTCAGGTCACTTGATCAGGTATGTTTTGGTAGGTAACACAAACCAAACAATGGATGAGAAACTTGTGGATCCTTTAAAAACAGAAGAAGCCAAGCATAGTGTAGTATGCAGGTGAATAGTGATTGAAGTGAAGTATTGTGGGGATATTTATGGGATAATAATAGTAACAGTGAGAATTGCCCACTAATTCAATTCTCAGATCCCAAAGAACGTTTATCGTGTTAAGTGAGAAGTATATCATATAAATAATATTACAATTTTATTATAAAAATAGATTTTATTTTATAATAACAAAATAATAATAATATGTAACATGCGTGACAATAATCAATGAATATCCAGTATAAAATGATATGCAATACAAAGGAATGGCTAAACACGTTTCATAAACAGGCATACAGCATTATCTGTCAAGTCTTCTGACGATTTATGACTATCTTTCACAGGGAGAAAGTGAAGCTTTTCACAGCGAAGGGCCATAAAACCCTTGCTAACAGTTAGAATAACCCTTTCAATGCTGGCTAGATCTCCTAGGTAATTAAGATCTATTCTTATGTAATTTTAAATAAAATAAAATTTAAACCAGTTCATTAGTCATTTCCTGGAACCATCCAATAAGAGAATCTACCATATTATATAAGCAGAGTTTAATTTTAATTTGCCTAAACAGATATCTTATATTAGAGCAAATCAATACACCTGGATAAAAACAACGGTATGCTAACTCGTGATAATATCACATCAATATATAATTATTCTTAATTCCACCTGCAGAATGGAATGTTTATAACTATATATTCTTTAGTTAACTAAGATTTCTTAATATGGAAATCTGACTGTGCTTTATCCAGTCATATATAATGCTATTAATACATTTTAATTAATTTAATTAATTAAATGAAACCAGTATAATTACCAGTTGAGTAGATATTTCATCCGATTGGTAGATAGTCTCAGGAACTTATTTGGATGTCTCTCTGCATGGAGGTTGGAGTCCCCAAACTTCCAATTCCTCTCTCCTCTTTTTCTTTCTCCTTTGCATCCTTTGCCTTCTCTCTCTTCCCTTTGTCTTAACTTTTAAAGGGCCAGACTCTCTGTACGTCATCAGTTGATAACCCAATAGAAGCACTAGAGGTGTGGTTATCTTCCAGATCGCAATTTAGGTATTTAGTCTATAGAGGGCAGTCTTGTCCCACTAAACATACCTATCCAGGAAAGAGTTAACTTTTCCTGGTGGCTATTTTGACGTCATTTTGGCCTATCTTGATAGTGGCCATAACTTAAAATTTCAAAGGGTTTCTTTAAGTTTTGTCCAGACTATGTGTCTGGCAAATCTGCTATAATTTCTGATATGGCAGATCATGAACTAAGTTTACCCTTTTCCATACAATGGTACCTTATATATATATATAGACAGTAAAATTAAATTATTTAATCTTCTCCGTCACAAATGTCTGGGTTTAGATTTGATCTATTCCATTAGCATTAGACAGTCTGTCCAACCCCCTTTCTTCTTATCACTTGTTTATACTATGCATTCCTTTAGCTCTGGGAAAGTGGTTAGTTTACAGATAGAAATCTTGTGTCTTTTTGTTAACTTGGAAATAACAAAATGGAGTCTGGTCTGTTCAGAGTGACTCAGAATATACACTTTTAATTTCTATCATAGCACAAGATGTCTGCCGATATAAATACCCTGACATAGCCCCCCTTTAGTGCATTTCGTAGCCAAAATTAATTTAGCTTATGAATAAGCACTATAGAAGTTACCAGACATATTGTGCAATCACCTAATTTCTAACATAGGCCCGTGCGTGGAATGAACATTTTTGTATATATTTGTACCTGTAAGAGTTTTGAACTTTACACTTAGTACAATCAACCATAATATCATTATTATAGGACATGGTTTTCATTTGAAAAATGTCTTTGAGAGTTACATATGTTATGGCCAATAAAAAGCACATCTCCATACGTTCCGGATCAATTAAGAGAGGTATAGCGCTCCCCATCTCAAAGGCCAGATTTAATTGCATAGGCTCAATTGTCTCTCCATCCACATTGGCAAGCATCGCATGAACAATATCCTTGGATATAAAGTACAGAGGTATGCGTCCCCCTGCCAATTCGATCATTCCAGTTTGCACTTCATCAAAAAAAAAAAGTTGTGGTGTATCACCAAATATATATATATACTACACAAGGTTCGTCTACATTAAAAGGTATTTATTAAAAGGCAACAACACAATACTATAAATGTATCACAAACACACAGCCCAGACCCACGGAGCAACAACCCTTTTTAAATCTATCTATGTATATAGTAACCCCTTACACACACGCTTGATCTCACCCACGGTTAGGCCTTCACATCTAGTAATGGCTCACTGCTGCAAGTTCAACATCACATCCACCAAGGAAGAAAAGGAAGCAACAGAAAGATTTCCTGCCTGGCCTTATGTTATATATCCTTAGTTGAGATGATGTGTTTTACATCACATCCTGTCCATGCATCACTTCCTTTAGCAATTGTGGGAGGGAAGTAAAGATTCTTAGCCCTCCTACCTAGACCTGTTTAAGGAGGTCCTGAAAGGAAGATAAATTACCATGCAAGGAAGACAAGTTACCACATTCCCTCACTTTTTCTTCTTCTATGTTGCTCAGTTTTCTAGTTATCCCTCTAGTACAGGAGAACCTAGTGGGAGCAAAAACCTGATATACAGGAGAAATTCAACCCACCGTCCCTCCGGAATAGTTCCCTCAGCGACACAAGTGTGTGGAACAATATTGGGTCATGCAGAAATAGAAGTTCATGCTTAAATAAGTCATGACTTTGGTGCAGCTCAGTGGATTTGGTAATTAACTCCAAATGCAAATTTGTTGTAACAACTGTGTCTTCCACAATAGTTAACACGTCTTGAAGAAGTGTTCTTTGCTGGTTTATCACCTGATGAATATCGTTAATGTGTTGTTTTAGTGCATAGGTTTCCATATCCAGCTTTTGGACAGTGAGAGTTGGCTGCAGACATTCCAGTTGCGACAACTGCACCGACAGTGGCACAAACTAATGCAACAATTATAGCGGTGAGGAACCTTTTGGGTCGGTTGCTCATCGGAATAGAACTGGATACAAATGGTTTCCGGGCTTGCTCCAAGATGTTTCGCACACGGTCCTGTGCTCTTTGGAGGTGCATCTGGTACCAAGTCTGTAACTCAGGAAGCTGCATCGATGAAATGTTGTATGCCTTCTCGATGGAAATCTTGGGGTCCAAGCTGACGAACACACGTCGGGTCAGGATCCTCTTCTCTGTCAAGATGAACCCTGGTGTCTCTTGAATCAGGATGCCGGAGGATGGTCCCATCTCTGCAATCGGGTCGGTCCGTAGCTCTTGGCACAGGAGCAATACGATCCAGAAACACGCCACATCCTTCTTGGACATCTTTCGACAGTCACGGATCAGGAACTCGTTCAGACTTATCTACTAATGATTCAAGGTTTGTTAAGCATACAAACGTATAACAGTGTGACATCACTTGGCCTAGGACAACACATTTTTTACGATTCATCAACATATGCATTCTGTCTAATTCTATTTTTATAACTTCATCCCTCACTACATTTATTACTGACTCTTCAGTAATTCGCCTATAGCAGCTAAACAAGCTAGTAACCTGCTTAGAAAATGGTTAATGACATGAACGTACATGAGATCATGGCACATCACAACATTTCACATCATACTATACCACGTGAATCAAGCATTCATCCAGGTTAGTCGTTCACCCTTCTGCATCCGAATCCACACCTATAATCCTTAATTGAGATTTAGGATGACAAGCACGCAACTGGTTAATGTGAACCCACTTTTCAATAAAATCACCATCCTTAGGAATTTTTATCTTGTACGCTACTGGAGAAATTTTGTCAATGATGACATATGGCCCTTTCCAAGAAGGTAAAAATTTATTTTCCTTGACTTGATTTCGCGCAAAGTTATACAGATAGACTTGATCTGTGATCTCATATTCCTTTTTCGTGGTTTTTAGATCATAATAGGTCTTAACCCCTGTCGCTGCTTTTTCTAGATTCTTTTGGGCAAAAGTAAACGCATGCTGTAAATGCTTGCGCAAATCTTCGATATACTGATGCATAGTGGCAGCATTGATCAAGTTATGATCCGAAGTACGATATAGTAAATGCTGTGGTAAAACCATCTTTCTTCCTGTTATCAATTCAAAAGGTGACAATTTGGTAGCAGTGCTAGGTGTAGCTCTAATCGCCATTAAAACTAGGGGCAATTTAATGTCCCAGTCTTTACCAGACTCCTTAACATATTTCTTCAGAATATTAACAATAGACTTGTTATATCGCTCTACCCCCCCGCTAGACGCAGCGCGGTATGCAATATGTAGCTTTCGTTTAACACCTAGAATGTTCCACATCTTAGCCATTACTTCGCTGGTAAAATGACTACCTCTGTCTGACTCAATTCTTTGAGGCAGACCGAACCTGGAAAAGACATGGTTAATCAACAAAGTGGCGCACACAGTACTCGTGTTCTCTTTACAAGGCAAACATTCTAACCACTTTGTGTACATACATGTAACGGTTAACATGTATTTGTTACCTCTTGAAGATCTTGTTACAGGACCTATAAAGTCAATTTGAATATCAGACCAGGGTAATGACACCCCCCTCTTCTGAAGTGGTGCACGATGGGTTGGACCATGGGGTTGATATTGCGGACAAATCAAGCATCCCTGACAGTATGTCTTAACATCCCTTAACATGTGTGGCCAATATGCATAATCACGCAATATCTCATATGTGATTTTATCACCACGATGCCCAGATGTAGGTGCATCATGTGCGTGTTGGAGCATTAACCCTCTGTATACAGTTGGGACTACCCATTGTTGTATACCATGTTTAGAAGTTCTGACCAGTAACCCATCCATGATACTAAATTGAACTTTATATCTCATCAAGATGACTAGATGGGCCGAATGGTTCTTATCTGCCATCACATTCTATGTTTCTATGTTTCTATCAAGATTCGTAAATCTTCATTATTTTTGCAATCCTCATCTGTGATGGGATTGGCAGTAGGGTCTTCTATATGTCTATAGAATATGCCTATGACGGGATCGTTCTTTTGACTAGTAATCAGGTCCTCACTAGGAGCTTCTTGACTCCATTGCACGACATTTAAGTCGGCATTATCTCTAGCCTGTCGTCTAGTTATGGCTTCAACATGAATTGAACCCATAAGATCATCAATGTTTAGGGTTTCACCATTGATGGTAGCTTGTTTTGCCAGTGAATCGGCTAAGTCATTACCATCCTTGTCAATACCTTCTATTTTAGAATGGCCTTTGGTTTTCTTCCAATATATGGTTAAACCATTTTCCCTAACCAGTTCATCAATTTTACAAAACAATTTCCCATGTTTAATAGGTTTGTTATTGCTCTTGAGCATTTGGTTACGTTTCCAGCTAGGCAGATATTCGACGAAACTGTTGCGAACATGGTTGGAATCAGTTATAACGAATTCTTTGATACCATATTCTATTGCCATTTGAATGGTCTTATATACTGCACAGAGTTCGGCTATCTGACTGCTTTTGGGACCAATATTGTATCCTATAGATACATTGGGATAATCACCTGTCCAGGCGATTCCGATACCTGCAACTAACTTCCGTTCAGCACCAACGACGTGGTGATATGAACAACCATCAATGTATACCCACGGTAGTGGTCGACAGTATTCCTCGTCATAAACTTTATAAGGAGATAGCAATTGCTCTTCTAGGAAGTCATCTCCGGTGTTATTATCATCCAGAGATGGAGCAGTACAGTCATGTAATTCTGCTAAACCTTGGGCAACTGGGCTTCTCTTATTATGTTTATAACGGACTTCTAAAGGCCATCCCTGTAAGGATAGAGTCCATGCAGTAATCCGACTGTTAGAGAGATTACCGTCTCTAATTCTTTCACTCTGCAGATACTGTAGAGGCTGGTGAGCTGTTTCTACAATTATTTTCTCACCTTGGATATAGCTACGAAAATTTTGTAGTGCCCATACAGTCGACAATAACGCCTTCTCACACGTGTTGAATTTAACTTCAACAGGTGACAAAGTCTTGCTAGCATATGCAATAACTTTGTTTAAACTGTCCCGCTTCTGATACAGAACAGCACTTATGCTTAAATCGGTATAACCTGTCTCCAGATAGAAGGGTTTAACCCCTCTGGGTATGCTAAACAGGGTGCCTGAGTGAGCTTCCTCCTCAGTTCACTTACCGCTTGGTCCTGAGGCTCCCCCCAGTTCCAGGTAGTTTCCTTTTTAAGCAGGTGTAAGAGTGGTTTTGTTATTTCTGCATAGTTATCTATAAACTTACGGGAGTAGTTAGTCATACCAAGGAACGATCTTAATTCCCTGATGTTTGAAGGTGTTTTAGCCTTTAGTACGGCTTCAACCTTCTTCCTCTGGGGATTTAATCCTTCAGAAGTTACCTCATGTCCGAGGAAATTGACATGGGTGCGACACCATTGTGCCTTTTGTAAAGACAGTTTAATCCCTGCCTCTCTTAACTGAGTGAGAACATGTCTAATCTCTAAGATATGCTTATCAAAGGAAGTGCTTTTCAGCAAGACATCGTCGACATATGATAACGTTCCTCTCTCGAGTGCATCAGGCATAGCTTTATGCATGAACACAGCGAATTCATGACCAGAGTTTATATAACCGAAAGGCATACGGGTCCAGGTATACTGCTGCTTTCCAAATGTGAAGGCCAATTTGTATTGGTCTTCATTATGGACTGGTACAGTCCAATATCCCTGCGCACAGTCAATGGCAGTGAATATTTTGGATCCCTGCATTTGTACCAAACATTGGTCTTTGTATGGTGTTGGCCAACCAGACATATAGACGCGTTTATTTAGCTGTCGTAAGTCAGCGCATAAACGCCATTGTCCATTAGGTTTCAGAATCCCCAAGATTGGATTATTATACGAACTGTGCACTGGACGTATAATGCCCCTTTTCTTTAAATTCTGAATGATGTCTTGTAGACCATCATATGACGCTAATGGGAGTCTATATTGTTTGATAAATACAGGTGGTAAATTTGGATCAGTTTGTATTCTGGCTACGTGGAGGTTAGTTAACCCACAATCGTAGGAATCTTTGGCAAAAATATCTTGGAATTCCATTAGGATTTCCTTTAGCTGCTGTCGCTCAGCATCGTTGGAGCAACCGTCAGCTAAAGATATTTGCTCTTCTAGCCTTTCCTGAAATCCTGGGAAGATTTCAGGCTGGCCTATCTCATAAGCTTCTTCAAGCCTAGAAGTTAGGTCAGTTCGGTGTTGACTTACCTTTTCTCTTTGGTCGTGATACTCTTGTGATTCCTGCTCATCGAGCGGATGATCGAAGGTGATTGATGCTTCTTCGATTTTACACGAGCCTTCTTCGACATTGAAGGGATATACAGATAGGATAGTGAATAATCCTTCTGGGGAGGAATGGAATATTTGATCGACAATTTCGTCCTCAGTTAAGTATTCTTCAGGGATGAGGCCTATAATTTGGTTTTGGAAACCAAATGTATAGTACTCAGCATCCAATGCTAGACCTAATAATGTTCCTTTTGGTAAAGTAACACTATTGGGTGTAACATTGTTGACCATGATATAGGTGGGATTCTTACCAATACTTACCATTGGTGTATGTGTCAAACCATCCCTAATTGTTGTATCTTGTTGGATAAACAGATTAGGGCATCAGAGTTTTCCAATCTCTGACCCTCCTTGACCTGTAGGGTTAAAAGAAAATTACTTGTCCCCTGTGGGATGGTTATGTCATCAGGTACTTGGATACTTACCGCATATGGGAGTATCTGTCCTGATTTCAGGGCGTTTTCCTCATGTAGGTATCCACAAGGATTACCTTTTAACCTTGTCCACAAGTTGGAATTAATCAGGTCAAGGTGTATAGCAAAGCGATGTATGACATCATTGCCAACGTAAACCTGATAGCGAGGTTCGTCTATCACTAGGAATAAATGTTTAACTGTCTTATTGCCGATGGAAATAGATAGTAAACATTTTGCTATCACATTGTGACTCTCTGATTCGCCATCCAGATTCTGGATCCACCTGTCATGTGGGGAAGCGTACCTGATCATTTTAGGATTAGCGATCTGCTTTAACAGACTTCTGCTAATATAGCTGTTCTCACTCTGTAAGTCCAGCTTTGCATTCCTACTTCTTCCTAAATCATTTATCTGAATAGAAAAGAAGTTGTTATTAACCCTTTCAATTCTGGCAAGGAATTGAGCATGACCTGCCAGATCTACAGATTCAACATAGTCCCTGTGGAGAGAAATGGTTA